CTGAAACAATGTTCACCATTATATCCAGAGTATCGTCGGACTCAGCATCATCTTCGTCTTCGACTTCGCTCTGGTTAGGCCACACTAGCCTGTTGGTAACGGGTTCTCTCTCAAGAGGCTTTCTTTGTTTCCTTTGAGGCACATTCGAACTAGTTTCTGCCTTAGGTTCGTTGGCAGCCTCTCTTTCAGCTTTTCGCCTTCTTTGATATCTCCTCCATTGGGATCTCGACATAGGATTTTTTCCCTTGTAGTTGCTGGACACTTGAGCAACCTTGGGTGCAGCAACTTGAGGATCTTTCTTCTGAATTAAAGAGGAACCTCTTGGCACTTCGAAAGAATGCCATTTCTCTTCGCTTGGCCTTTTGCGGCCAGATGTTTTGTACCAAGTGTCTACTGGTACATTTGTTGGAGGCCTAAAAGTCAAAGGCCTCTTGTCTTGATTAGAACCCCTTCTGGGATCATGTCGAAGGTCAGAATTCTCCCTTCTCTTGTTCGCTGCTCTCACTCCTTGTATGTGTTCAGCAGCTTTTTTATCAAAGATAGAACTGCATCTTGGACACAGCATCACCTCTGATTTTTTCTTCTGGCATCTTTGTAAAAAATCTGCCAAGTTTTCGTTTTCCCTAGGGAAAGCCGTTTTATTTGCCTGCTCTTGCCTTATGGCTTCTTCTGAAGTTTTAGGGTCAGAGAGTTCAACCATGTTGATATTCATTGTATCCTTATTAGCAAGAGTTAGTTGCTTCATCTGTGTTTCCAGATTCTCCGTCTGGCCTTGTACAGTGGCCAATTGGGAACTGGGCTTTGGTCCAGTTTTTTGTACTTCAGCAGTCTTTGACTTTGGATCTTCGACCGCGTTCTGGACAGCCTCAATTGTCTTCCTGGATAAACTTCCAGAAAAACTGCCAAAGATTGGCATGTTGATGTGGTCCTTTGAGACTTCGACCACGGTAATGCCTGGCTTCTTCGACTGGATCCTGGTTGCCTCTATCATGTTCACCTCAGAGGGTTCTGCATAGTGGGCTTCAGCCTTCATTGGATTGGAGTCGACAGCCATGGGGGATTTGTCAGCAAACTTTAATCTCCCTTCCTCAATAGCGTCTTGCACAAGATTCCTGAAAAGAAAACATTGAGAAGTTTTATGGCCCATAAAATTATGATATTTGCAAAAACCCCTCTTCTTTCTTTGATCAAGAGGAGGCACTTTTACCCCAGGGGGTACTATCATTTGGCCATCTTTAACTAGCAAGTCGAATATTTCATCACATTTTGTGATGTCAAAACTATAAGTCTTTTTTGGGAACCTATCGTTGGTCCTGTCTGGACCAATGGGATTTTTCCCATTTGAGGGGACTAACTGTTTACAAGAGTATGGAGGCCCTTGTTTTAGTTCTGCTAAATCGACTTCTCCTTCTTCGACAGCTAAAGTATCGTCGAAGGATTCTAGATCTTCGTCATCCATCTCAACGTAAGCTATTCTTTCTCTCTTGTGAGTTTTCGTTGCCTTAGCTTTTTCAGCTTTGAGGCGCTCGACTTGTCGAACTCTATCGGCCAGTTGGGCCATGTCTCTTAGGTACTGGGTATCTAGCTTCTTCCTAATGGAATAATCTAAACCGCCTGCGGCCATTTCGACCAGCTCATGTTCCGGCACTTGTGTAAAACATCTCGCCTTAAGCAACCTAAACCTATTCAGATATTCGTCTATAGGTTCAGTGAAACGTCTCTTCACACTCGCCAGCTCTTTCAGGCTTATCTTGGTTTGCCCCATATAGAATTGTTCATGGAACAATCTTTCCAACTGGGTCCAATGGTGGATCGAATTGGGGGGTAGAGTTGTGAACCAAGTAAAAGCGTTCTTGGTTAAGGAACTTGGGAAGTATTTGATCCTTAGGTTTTCATTATTTGAAATGTCTCCTGCTTCGATCAAATACCTAGCCACATGTTCGACAGTAGATTCTGTCGTGTCCCCAGAGAACTTAGTAAATTTGGGGACTTTGGTTCTAGGGGGTAAGTCAGTTTGTAACACATATTCTGACAATGGAGATGTAAAGTTGGGCCTTCGAAAGCCCATGTTCATTCCATTCTGAGTCATGATTCTTTCGATCATGGTTGCCAGATTGTTTTCCAAACCCATGTTTTGGTGTTGGATATGCTGAACCACTTCGTCAGCATTTTGGTTTCTATTAACTAACCTTACCTCTGGGGCTATTACTCTAGGTTCTTCGACAGGCTGTTCAACAGGCTGTTGAACCTGGTTAATGGTGGTTTCTTCCTCTACAAATATCCCCTGATTTCCTCTTATTTGCGCCCTTTGGGGCTGTCGAATGGGTGGGGGTACTCCAAAGAAGTCAGCCAGACGCGTCATTTGCGCTGTAACTTGCTGATTCGATTGAGTAGTATTTTGTATTAGAGGATTTAGCACTGTACTCAAAGTTTGTGCCAACATTTGCACCATATCATGGTTGCTTTCGTCCATCTGTTGCCTCAAGACTGCTGTCGAGGCATTTGTAAGGCCATGGGCTACTTGGGACGTTCCTCCTAAGAGTTGGGTCCTATTTCTATTCGCCATGCCTATTCCAGAGCCTTGGAGTGGCGAAGTGGCACTCACGAAAGGGTCTGAATAAGTGGACGCAGCATTCGTCAGGCTTGCCACTTCAGAAGTTGGCATACCATAGAATGGAATAAATCCTGGGGGAACCACTGGCCTTGGGCCAGTATTTCCCCTTGGAGGGGGGGTTCCCAAAGGCATTCTGGGGCCTGTAAACGAAGTTATTGGCCCCGTGGTTGTGACTGATACTGCTGGTGTCGAACCAACATTCGTCGCTTCACTAACGGTCATATTAACCGTTGCTCCCACACTTGGTGGTGGAATTTCGTTATTGTTTGGCGGATTCGCCATCTCTTCCCTTCTTCTGGCAGTATTGTTATCGTTGGTGTATATTCTACCACTCCTTAATAACATACAACTCGAAAAGATGAGATTTTTCAACAATCAACACACAGTCCCACCAGGTGTGCCAATTTGTTTACCTAGGGATTTGGTAAACAACCGCTGATCCTCCAAATGGTTACTTATTTGGTTACTCGCAGGATCGATCAGATTGATCCTATGGACATAGGTTGATTTTGAAGTTTGATTAATGTGGATAAGGCTTTAAGTAAATTGTTTAAAGTAAATTGCATAAAGGAAAGGCTTGGTAAAATAAACAAGGCTTGAATGTAAAGGTTCGACAGGAATCTTAAAGGGGAAAAGCATGTAAAATACTGTAAAAGTAAATGACTTGAATTAATAAATTGGTGTTTCACACATACATTTCTCAACAATTCGTTCGCTCACACTGGGTACTTGAATCTAAATGAGTGACTATGTATCTATTGTGAACACCCGCGAGAAACTACACGTCTACTCCTATTTATACAAAAACATTCCAAGTAACCGTCGGGCAGTTACACTGCTTCGAGATCAAGCCACTTGTCACGTTCTCCATGTTCGACGCTCCAGATCCTTGCACATTTGCACGTAGTAACTGCTGGAAACCGTTTTCCCTCCAAAGCTTTGAATTTCAAACTGCTCCACTCTGGACCATCGAACACGTTCGTCAAGAGACGTCTTCGACGAAAACTCCTTCGACGTCGAAGGCAATCAGCCTTCTTCCTTGGAAGAAATCTTCTAAGTATTTTGTCATCTTTCGACGGGCACTTCGACAGGCTCAGCCAGTCGAAAGCATCTTTCAGCTTTTAATGGCTGTCATCAATCAAAACAAAGGTGTCGAATTTAGGAGCCAACAATAATAACGATTATTCATAATAATCATTGTGATATAGTATATGAATAAATGTCAAAATTTCGTACCAGAATCAACACTAAACCAATTTCTAATTGATATCAAAATTTACATTAATTACAAGTACATAATTCCATTAAGTAAATAATAAAATTTGAACAGCTCAAGATATGCAATCTTTCCAACTTCCAAGAGAAAAAGAAGTGTATAGAATTAAAGAAAGAATGATGAGAAATTTTGGTTTTTAAACTTCAAAGATAAGAAGATGAAGAATCAAAAGGAACAACATAAAAGCGGAAGAACCTAAGACACAAAAACAACTTCATCCTGTCATACTCTAATTTTTTTACCTAAGATCCCATATTCCATCTGCATCATTGCATAACAAGTGTTCACGAATGGTTTGAACTATTTTTTTCTAAATCTCGAGTTAAATTTCAAAAATTTACAACTTCTTCAAATTTCGATATTTTTGAGCAGTTCTTTTTGTATATGATTCTCCTTTACATCATCTACAACTTTTCTTTACAAGTCAAAGAGTCGATTATGCTTGAAAAGCCACAAATAATAGAGACATTAGAGGATGCTTTGTGAATTTAGTGAAATTAAACTTAACTTCGATTGTGTTTTGCCCAACTTTTACCAAATCATGCATATTACTCTTTTTTATCTCTTATTTAGCATTTCATTTTATTTCAAACATCACAAAAAATACATTTAACATAATTCTATTTTACTTGCAATTTTTATTTCTTTATTCACAGTTCATTTAAATTTATACTTTTATTTCATTGTTAATTCAAAATCTCAAAAAAATCTCAATAAGTCTCTTTTTCTTTCATTCTTGCATTTTTGAATATATAATTCTTTTTTTAATTGCACTTTTATTTATTTTAATTCAAAAAAGTCGTTGTTAATTTCATCCATTTTCATTATTTAATATTGTATTTTTTTAATTTCAAGTATTTATAGTTGTCATTTGCATTTTAATCATTTTTTTCTTTTTATTAACAATTTTCTTTTTTATTTATTATTATTATTTCATTTTGTCAAGATAGGAAAAAACAATTGTTGGGACCACTAGGCTTACACGGTTTATAGCATCAATTTATCAACTTTGTCGCTGCATAATTTGTCCATAAAACAACAAAATTTGTGGTCCAAAACCAAATTTTCTAATATTGTTATTACCTTGTCTCCATCCAAACCGGTTGTAACATGAAACACAACAAAATCTGCACAAGTAGTGCCAAGAAAACTCAGATCAAATGTAGCACTAAAAAGAACTGTCAAAAAACCTGCTTAAAAAGCCAAAAGAGCATACCACAACTCTGCTGCTGCCCTGCTACCAATCAAGCAGATCAGTCCAGAAATTACACCAAAATAACATACACCATAAAATCAGTGCATCATAATTGTTCAAGTTCTATAGCCCCCCCTCAAATCCCATATATCTTCCTCTATAAAAAAGAGACTTGATTCAAGAGAAAAGGGGAAAGAAAAGTGTTAAGAAAAACTTTGTTCCACCTTCTTCCAAATACTCACCACAAATCCTCTGTTAAATCTCTCACTCAACTTCATAATCTTCAATCCTTTTTACATAAACCACCATATCTCACGCTACAACTTTTACCTGCCAACAAAACAATAACAATAACACCATAACACACGGCAACAGTTTACAGCACCTCAACACTGACAACAACCATATAGTCGAAATTTCACGCAGTAGAAGAGCAGAGAGAACGAGTAGAACCTGAACTGTTTGTCGTGTCGGAATCCATATCGGAGAAATTCTCATCTCCGTTGGTAACCGTTCTCACTCTTATTCTTTCTTTTTAAAAATCACCGCTATTGAAGCATTTATTGTTGTCATTTTTTCCCATTTTTGTTGTGTTGTCTTTGTTTCGATGTGTTAGTTTTTTCTTTTTAGATTTAGAAGGAGCGTAGATTATTGTTGCGGTTAAACAAAGTGAGACCGAGAGAGATTGCACTAGATTTCAAAAAGTTATTGTTAATTGTTGCATCGGTTTTCAGCCGTGAACTATTGTTGTTGTTGTTCGTTTTAAGTGAAAATGATGAATGGAGGTATGTTGATTGACCCACTAATTCAGCCTATTCTTTTTCTTATTTGTTTATTTATTTATTCTTTCCCATATAATTACTAATGACTAATCAATGTCTAACATTTATTCCATGTAATTTGAAATTAAAATAAAACAAAACTAATTTAAGAGAAATTTGGTGGGGATTGATACATATTTTTTTCTCACCATTTAGTTACTTTATTATTTCTTTAATAATTTAATTAGTTATTAATTTAGTATTTAATTTCATTTAATAAAAAAACAAATAAAGAGATATTTGGAGGATAGAGTACTTCAGTGTCCCTATTTTTTCTCCTCGCTTTTCTTTTTCTATTTTTTTTTTAAATTATTTTTATTTGTTTTAGTATTTTTCTTTTTTAAGATTGGACATTAGACTTTTATGCAAGAGGCATGCATCTTGGGCTTAATTAATTTAATTTCTATTTGTAGTCCTATTTATCTCTCTTCCGCCTTTTATTTTCTATTTATTATTATTGATTATCTTATTAATTACTTAATTAGGGTTTAATAGATTTGGTCATTGGGCCCATAACTTTCTCTTATTGCAATTTCATTTCTATTCTCATCTAGTTTCTATTTCATTTTATTTTATCTTTAAATTATTTTTTTCTTTCTATTCTCTTATTCTTTTAATAAACAAAAAATAGTTAAAAAATAGGAAGTGTGTGATATATTGGGATTTTTATTTTTAGCATTTTATTTTAATATTTTTTTATTATTCTCTCTTATTTTTGTATGGTTGATGTTTAATCCAAACTTTGCCATGTGCTTGATGATTTCGCTTGACGAAATGTTTGAGTTTGCTTGTATTTTGATCATTATACATTCTTTGATGTTTGATCATGTTGTTGATTGTTTCTGATTTTATTCCAAGGGAAAAAATTAATTAGTTGACTTCATGTCATCGAGTATCTAATATGATTATGCGAAACCCCTTTTATATATTTTTTTTAATTTTGTTAATCTTAAGTTAAATCTCTTGAAAAAGCTCAATTTTTAAACTTACACTCATTTAAGGTAAAACATCGACACTAGGTCGTCGCATCTTAAAGATCTCATCCCCACACTCATTTAGCAAGCAAACCAATATTTTAACAACAAAACACAAATATAATAAGAGGTTCCTTCAGAGTACCGTAAATGCATTGGGTGCTAACACCTTCCCTTTGTATAATCAACTCCCGAACTTTAGATCTCTCTATTGTACTTGCTTTTACTTCTTGCATTGCATATTTACTTATGGGTTTTATTTCACTCATTTCCCCTTCCCTTGGAAATAATAAAGCATGGTGGCGACTCTTGATTATTTGCGAGTCAAGTTAATTAATAGTTTGATCTCTGATTTTCACCGCTACACATCCAAAGAAATCAACATGGGTTATCCTACTCAAACCACCAACAATGATGAGAATCCAGATGTTGTTGTAGAGGATGTTGTGATATCAAATAAGCCTCAGAATTCAGATGTTGCTGTAGAGGTCGGTGTTATGGTGCAAAACCATCCTCAGATTCAATATGTTGTTATATAGGGTGTTGTGTTTAGACTAATGAGAGCTCTCATGGTGAAAAGAAGAAGAAGAAGAAGAAGAAGAAGAAGAAGAAGGAGAAGAAGAAGAAGAATAAGAAGAAGAAGGTTAAGAAGGCAAATGATGAGTTTTTTTCCATTCTGATGATGATGATGATGATGATGAGGCTGACTATTACTGGTCTAACTTTATCTCAGCGAGAGGATTTATATTTGATTATCATTTTTGATCATGTAATGAAAGTCTTAGGTAATAAAGTTTTAATCTGCTTAACTCTCTTAAGGTTATCAACTTAAACATTTAACTTAACCTATCAGCTTAAACTTCAAAATATATAAAACACATTATTGTAAATGTGATACGGTGGGAGAACTGACTTGAAGGTTTTGCGTTTGATCGCAAATGTTGCGGTTAGCAAGAGTCACCACCGACTTTTCTTTTATCCAAAAGGAAAGGTGAAAAAGCACAGGAAAGACCTTTGAGATTATTTCTAGAGTTCGGAGGGTAGATTATGAAAAGGGAAGGTATTAACACCCTTTTCATCTATGGTTTTCCATGGGCTCTTAGTTACTTGCTAGATCACTTTCTTTTTGTTTGAAATTATGCTTTGTATGGTTTTTGAAAGTATTCTGTAAAGAGGCCATTGTTTAGGCAATCTTTGTAATGATTCTTGTGTGTAAGAATGTATACAAAGATGTTTGATCTTTTGAAAATAATTTCAAGTTTGTAGGAGGTTTTGAAAGTGTAGGTGTTTGTTTTGAAAATAGCAAGGATGTTTTGAAATTGAGCAAGTAATTAGGAGCATTCTACCTACTCAAAAGTCTTTCTTGTTCATTTCATTTTTCCTTTGACATTGTTACCTTACCATTGATTTGGTAAGTAACCCTATCTTTGGATGTAAACGGGACGGGGCGTGGGTCATCGTATAACCATAATTAGCAATATTGCAAGGTATCTTAGCATTCTCTTTTAGAGACTAAGATAATTTGAAAGGCAACTTAGATAGCGTCATCGAGGAACTATGATCTTGTATTTGCTCGTTTTTGCTAAGATACCTTACATGTGTAATATGACCATTTTATATAAGGCAACCAAGTGGAATAACCCTAGGGATGCTTGTGTGCAAGTGTATTGTTTTCATGCTTGTTTTGTCTTGAATTAGGGTTTTATAAGTATTAGTTTTAATCTTTCCATACAAACCCTAATTACTAGCATTTGTATATAAAAGCGATAAATTGCGGAATTTAAAGTTACTACGCCATTACAATATTTGTGGGAGGGGGTGTACAAATTGAATGGGGATTGTAAGAATTTAAACCTAGTTAGTCTATTACAACCATATTGAATTGGTATCCATTGTACAAAAATTTGAATAAATACAAAGTATAAAATGAATAAATGTACAAAAATGCAAAATGTGAAGTAAATGGATATATGTTTGATTTTTTAGAAAAAAGGGATTTTGTCTAAATAGAATTAACTTAAAGAAGAATAATTAATAAAAAGAATTTGTTTAAGAAAAGATTTTAAATAAAATCCTAGTTCTATTAATTGATCAAAAGAAAATAAGTTTAAGAAAAACATTTTTTTTAAGTATTTTTATGTCTTGAAAATATTTATAGTATTATAAAGTATTTTTGGCATTTTTATATTAAAATAATATATTTTAATTGGTATAAATGAAAATAAATAAAACCTATTATTTTAATTAAATTTACAAGATGTTTAGTGAAATGAATAAAATGTTTATTAAATAAAAATAATTTTTATGAGAAAAAATAAATAAACTATGCCAAAATGAAAATCTAATATTTTTTATATTTTTTATGATTTTTAACATTAGTAAAAAAAAATTAAGAAAACAAATGAAATAAAAATAAACTGGGCCAGGGGTGCTAACAGCCTGCAAGGGGGTTAGTAAGCAAAAATAAAAAAAAGAGTACAAAGCCCAATAAGGCCCAAGCGCTCAAAAAAAGTCATGAATGCAAAATATGTGAAAAATGCAAAAGAGTACCACTGGGACTCGAACCCAGGTCCCATAGGTTACAGGCGCGCCCTTCTATCATTGGGGTGGCTATACATCCGTTAACATAGGCAAATCAATAAATATGTAAGGCAAAACGCACTCTGATGACTTCATCTTCAACCTCTAGCCAGATCAACTGTAACTTGCTCATTTCTCATCAAAAATGAAAACTGTAAACATGAAACTTGTAGCAAATTTTCTCACGGTTTCAGAAATGTAAAGCATTAAAACTATAGACAAAGATAAGCATGAACTTTAATGGCCCTAATCTGAATCCTAAAAATCTCAAAAATTTCAGTTTCAAAATTCTCTAAGCTCAAGCAAAATTAATAGAAACTATGGACATGGTTAGCTTCAGAGCAATGATATCTACATGTTTTATTCACAAATAAACTATTGATGATGCCTGTATGAAGAGTTCCAAGTTGAGAAAACTTACCTCAAAACTGGAAATCATGTTTTGAGTTTGAGCTTGTTTCAAGTGATGGTGATGATCAGATTAGCTTCCTTGAGGTCCTAGGAAGCTAATGCAATGATTAGCTTGAACAATGGATGGTTGAAATGGTCTGGAGAAGTCAATGTGAAGAGCTGAGTTTTTGAAAATGGAGGATGGTGTTAATGGTGTTACAGTTCTAAAACAGGGTGTGAGATTGATTCTATGTGATGTTTAGAAACTTTAGAAACCAAAAGGCCAAGAAACGCATGAGTAGATTATGAGTTTCAAGTTTTTGGTCAGTTTATGTAAAAATGGAAGTGTGAAGTGTGATTATAAGTTCTAGGTTCTTTTAAGGCTTGAGCATTCGTGTGTTTGTGTCAAATTGTTTGTGTATGTATAAACAAAAATATTTGAAAGCATTGAAAAGTCAGAAGTACAAGTTTCTAACTTTTGGCTAGGTTACTTGATTTTGAAGAAAAGAGGGAAACAAGTTTCAAGATGAGGTACACGCATGGGATGGGTGATTGTAAGTGTTTGAAACATTTCTCATGAGTTATAGGACTGGTTTGATCAGAAGAGAATAAGTGCAAGGCTCAAGAACAAGTTTTGTACAAAAAGTTGCTTTATCAAAATGACAATGTAACCTTTCTTCCAAAAATGGATAAAAAGCATGTCCATGCATTGAATGCTTGAAGTGAGACTTCTAACAGCTGTGTAAACCATTAATTATGGAGTGTCTAACAAGTTTGAGGTCTGCAAAGTAGAGTTAATGCATCACAACTTTGAATTTGAAATTTGTTCATCACTAAAATGACTTGTAATTAAAGTGATAAAACCCTAACTTCATCTCTTCGATTCTCCCTACTCAAGAATGATATCAAGGAGTTCTTGGACATTTTGGAAGCTTGCAATGTGCTCTACAACCCATATTTGAATTGATTTTGAATATTCCCCTTGGAACTTGTGATCGGTGGAAATAGAACTGACTGTTTTGAAATGCTGGTTCGCAAAATGTCGCGGTAAGCAAGAGTCGCCACCGTCTTTTATTTTCTCCAACAAGGAAAGGACAAAAGCACAGCAAAATTCCTTTTCGAGATGTTTCTCGGTTCGGGAGGTAGATTATAGAAAGGGAAGGTGTGAGCACCCTTTCTATCCGTGGTTATCCACGGGCTCTTAGGTACTTGCTCACTATGTTTTCAAAAGATTTGTTTGCTTTTCAAGTGTTTGTGTGTTTTGAAAAAGTTTAGTTTGAAAACTTCTAGGTAACTCTTGTATCAGTCCTCAAGAGTGTATGAAGTATTTGTTTGAAAACTTTTTGAAAGTGTGAGTGCGAAAAGTTGTTTTTGTTTGTTTTGAAAGAGCAAGTACCCAGGAGAAATCTACCTACTCTAAGGAATTAAGCTGTGTAAAAATCCTTGAGACAGTACTATCCCACTATTGAGAAGTAGGTAGCACCGTCGTTGGAGTTATTCGGGTCAATTCGATTATTAGGGACATGTGTGGTCACCAAAGCAATAGTAGGACGCCTTAGCGGTAACCCTAATGTCCTAGATCCTTTTTATCCGAGGCAACCGTTTCGAGGCAACTGGATCTTTAGACAGGAGGACGACCTCTAAAACACCTTATACTTGATGACCACGTCGAGGCAACCAAGTGAGGCGTACCCTAGGAGTGGCATGTGCACGTGTGTCAGGATTCAATTTAAGATTATCTTTGAACATGCATCATTGTGAGCTACGGGTTGATTTTATTTTTCATACAAGTCTTGTCATGCATAATTAACAGTTAATAATTGCGGAAAGTAAATTGCGGAAAATTGAATCTACGCTATTACAAGGCGCGGGTATATACATCGCCAAAAACATAACCCTTTGGAAAATAAATGCGGAAAGTAAAAGAAAGCGATAAAGATCCTAATTCACTATTACATTCTTGGAGCAGATACATCAATATAATCAAAAATAAATAATAAAGTGCGCGCAAAGAAATTGAATCGGAAACGTCCTTAGGGTTTTGACCCTTTTTGAGAAAAGAATGGAATTGGTCCTTTTTTGCATTTAATTAAATATTAACCTAAAACTAATTAATTAAATAATTTAAGAAAAAAGTATTTTTTTATGTTTTTATGTTTTAATGAAAATAAGATAAAAAGGAAAATATGGTTAAAAGTTAGTAAAAAAACCTAAGTCTAATTTATTTTATTTATTATAAAAGAAAATTAAAATTAAACCTAATTAAACTAAATTAATTCATGTTAGTGTTTATTTACAAAATAATAATTAAGATGAAATTAATAATTAATAATAATAATAAAAAATATTGTTTTCTGGATTAA